AACAAGAGAGAAACTCCGTCTCAAAAAAAAAAAAAAAGTTACCACCAAACAAGGAGAACAAGAAATATAGAAATACAAATTTAATCCTTAAAAACCAGGAGACATAGTCCCACAACAATATAATAAAAAAAAGTCACCTAAATGAGGTAAAAACCAAGTAAGAGTATGGAAAAATGCCAAGAATTATATGAAGCCATGAATCTCAGATAAAGCTTCTGCAAACTTGAAGGCACATCCTGAGGAGCAAGAGTGCTTTGTTTGGAACATTGCAAAAAAGCGACATGGCCAGTCACAGGAGTTCCTTATACCCAGTTTGGCATCAAAGAGAAGCAGGAACACGGGGATGAACAAAACACAAGTAGGTACTCTATCTTCACTAACAGAAAAGTGGGTGAGGTGGGGGAAGAAGTCACTGTGAATGGCCTTATAGTTGCTGATTTCTGGTATCAGGCAAGAAGAGTAAAATAACTTCCTTACACAGATGCATGCCATAATAAACTTCACAAGTTACCATGAAGAATTCCTGCTACCCTGGACCACAGTCACAGCCACCCACCTATCTCCTACAAAGATGAGTAATAGTAATAATAAATATCAGAATAGGATATCTAAACAAAGATAAAATAAGAAAAAAGAGAGAAGAGAAGAATATAATGATGGCCAAATAACCTGCCAAAGAATAAATGAAAACGGTGACCACAGTTAATTTAAAAACACACACACACACACACACACACACACACACACACACACACACCCTAATAAAGCAGCCTACCACAAAATAAAATCTCAAGGCACATGGAGCAAGATAAGAAGAGATGCTTCATGAGCTGGCAGAATAAAAAGAAATAGAAGTGAAGGTTTCATTAGTAGCAACACAAAGAGTAAATACCATTTATCCTGTGAACAGACAAAAGGCTAAATAAAAAGGATTAGAGAGGAAACAATGCATATGGAAAACAGATAACAAAAATCTAGTATGTCTAGTTGGTATATTTGAAGAAGATAGCCATAATGAAAAAGTTTCAGATGTAATTTTCTAAATTTTTCCAAAATAAAAAACATATTCATAAATTAAAAGGGTATATATCTCCAGAAAAATTTATTGAAACTATCAACATTGGGATATATCCTAATAAAGTTAAGAGACTTCAAATTTAAAGAGAAAGTCCTTTAGGAAAAAAGAGAAAAATCACCTACAAAAGGAAAAAAAGCAGGCCAGCCTCAGATTTGTCCCCAGCATTTAACACTAGTTCTCAAAGAAAGAAATATTGATCAGGAATTTTATATGCAGCCAAACTACTATTAAAATTTAAAGGCAATAGAAAAAAAATCAAATTTATGAAGAAACAAGAATTTAGAGAACATAGTTGCCACAAGTCTTCTTGAAGAAACTTCCAAAAGTCAAATTATAGTCAATCAAGAAATGGAGAAATTACAGCCAAGGGACTGCTAGTGAGCATTAACTCCATTTTAATGTAGGCCTAAAGCTAATTCAAATACTGGCTTTACGGCTACAGAATAGAATCTAAGTTTTATAATCCTGAAAACATAGACATAAAAGCAGGGATGGAAATGGAATCAAAGACGGAAGGTCATTAATAAATGAATTGTCTTATCTTTCACATCCCCAGTCAAAATATATTAATTCAAAGCTGATAAGTCAAGTTACACAGGTTCAAGTATATTTAAAAACTAGATCAATTAAAAAACGTGGTGAAAAAAGGTAGTATAAGATACACCAGGCTAGGCACGGTGGCTCACGCCTGTAATCCTAGCACTTTGGGAGGTCAAGGCGGGCAGATCACCTGAGCAACAGAGCGAGACCATGACTCAAAAA